GGTGCATTACCAGGGAGCTGGCATCTCAGGCAGTAGCTTCACCCCCTGTGCCACAATGCCAGCCTGCTGGCCCCGTGGCTATTCCTTATGTGAGACTCAGCCATTGCAGACTGGGTCTGAGCAGGTTTGAGGAAGCCCACATGAAAGGAACTCCAAGCTTTCCCCGAGGCCCAAGGGTGGACCCCAGCTGAAGGCCAGCAAAGCCAGGCTCTCGGTCATCCAACAACCTGAAGGAACCTGGAAGCAGATTCTCCCCGAGCTGAGCCTCCTGGTGACAGCTTTGTGAGACACTGCACAGCACTCCTAACTCAACCATGCCTGCACTATTGACACAGAAATCGGGATATAACAGCTGCCTGTTGTCTGAAGCCGCTGTGTGGTGACTGCATCCCACTGTGAGGACAGGTGCGTGGATAATAAGCCATGCACGGTGTTCCCGCTGCTGCCCTCACCTCTCACATCATGGAGAGAGGCCAGGGCTATTCATGTAGTGGTGGTGCCTCGCATGCAACATGGAGACACAGAGAAGTAAGATGTGCCCCTTCAGCCCTACCTCCGCCTCAACAGGAAATAGGAGTGGAAGGAGAGGGTGGGGTGCTGTTAGGAAGATGACGGTGTTTGACTGTGAGCTGGCCAGACGCGCAGAAGTCAATGGATCTGAGGCCTGTTAGAAAGACATAAACTGTGGGACTGGCTTTGTGGTGAGGCGGGTTAAGCCGCTGCTGCCTGCAGCAGCTGCATCCCATTTGGGAGCGTTGGGTGAGTCCTAGGAGCTCCACTTCAATCCAGCTCCCTGCTGATGCGCCTGGGAGAGCTGCTGAAGATGGCCCACGTCCTCGGACCCCTGTCACCCATGTAGGAGACCCAGACAGAGATTCCAGCTCCTGGCTTCAGCCTGGCCCACCCTTGGCCATTGCAGACATTTGGGGAGTGAACCAGCAGACAGGAGATTTCTCTCTTTCTCTCTCAATCTCTGTTTCTCTCTCTCTCTCTCTCTCTCTCTCTCTCTCTCTCTCTCTCTCCTGCTGTGCCTTTCAAATCAAAATAAATAAATGTGGCTTTTTAAGAGTTTCATTCTGGCCACGTGAAGTGTGAGCCCTGTGAGACACCCACGTGGAGCTGTCGATCAGGGACGGGCAATGCCAGTCAACCTCAGAACAGAGGTTGCGGCTGGAGATAGAAATGCATGAGTGACCCGCATAAGGATGCGATTTCAAGGCGGGAAGAGGACTAGAACACTAGGGAGGGATATAGCCTCTTGCCCTCCCAGTCTCTCCTCCACACTCCTGCTCATTCTAGAATGCAAATCTTACCGCTTGTCGCACTGCTTATAATTATGCAATAGCAGGCAGAGGGTTTTTTTTTCCCCTTCATCTGAGTTCAGTTTTACTAAAATTGTGTTTAAACTGTGAAAGGAAAGCTATGTTAACACGTTGTACATTGACCTAGTTTCGCAGAAGAAATTATAGAGCACTGATTAAAAGCCAGTACAATATTTGGAAAGTCAAGGAAAAACAGAGAACGCAAAGAAAATATAATGAAAGCAAGCGAATACTTAAATTACTGCCAATGCATTGCTTTTAGCATGGCTTTCTCAGAGTCACCCAGATCATTCATACACTCAGGCAGAGATTTTAATTGCTTAAAAGGCCACTGGCTCGCTGTGTGACCTTGTAAACTGCTTTGACCTTTCTGTGTCCCCCTTGCTTTTTCTGCGAGGTGAGGATAACGATGTTTGCACCACCTCCCTGGAAAGGTTCCTGAGAAGGCCAAGTGAGATAAGGGGATGGAAAACACCCTGGAAAGTTTATAGGAAGAGGAGGAGGCGACAAGTGCCCTGGGTTCGGGGACTGCGGCGTGTTCATAACAGCCCCTCTGCTCTGCAGAGTACCTCAAGTCCAGGAGAGTTTGTTTGTGTCTTAATCAGAGGACATCTCGGCTGAGCTCCCCTGAGAGCAGGGGCAGAGCCTGGAAGCGCTGTGTAGGGAGTTTATGAGGTCTTCTAGAAAGCCGGAGCAAGGAGCGGGAAGAGAGGCCAGAAGAAGAAGCACCGCGTGGTCCCCCGGGGCCCCACTGCTGAGGTCGGCGGGGGCTCGGCTCTGCCAGGAGCACTTCCAGAGTTGTCACCCGGACGTTCAGCCTCGGCTCCAGTCCCTCCTGGGCATGAGGTGGTCCTGGAGGACACCAACCATCCCCTCTGTCCCCACGGCATTTCCTGTGGCCGAGATCCCACGGAGGGGAGCCAGAGTGTGCGTGGACTGGACCCTCTCGGGCACTGAACCTTCCACCACCACGGGCACTGAAATCAGAGGCAGATATGATGCGGGCCACCCACAGCTGTCCGGCGCAGAGTCCAAAGCCATCTGTCTGCCATCGGTCCTCTGCTGTGGCTTGAATGTATCCCCTGAAGTCCATGTGTCAGAAACTTAATCCCCGGCCGGTGCCGCGGCTCACTTGGCTAGTCCTCCGCCTGTGGCGCCGGCACCCCGGGTTCTAGTCCCTGTTGGGGCGCTGGTTCTGTCCCAGTTGCTCCTAGGTCCTTTAAGAGGCAACGCAGTGGGCCAGCGCTATGGCACAGCGGGTTAAAGCCCTGGCCTGAAGCACAAGCATCCTATATGGGCACCGGTTCTAGTCCTGGCTGCTCCTCTTCCAATCCAGCTCTCTGCTGTGGCCTGGGATAGCAGTGGAGGATGGCCCAAGTGCTTGGGTCCCTGCACCCACATGGGCGACCTGGAAGAAGCTCCTGGCTCCTGGCTTCGGACTGGCACAGCTCTGGCTGTTGCAGCCATCTGGGAAGTGAACCAGCGGATGGAAGACCTCTCTCTCTCTGTCTCTACCTATCTCTGTAATTCTGTCTTTCAAATAAATAAAATAAATCTAAAAAAAAAAAAAAAGAAGCAATGTAGAGGTGGAGGTGGGAGAGGCAGCTGGCACTGTGGCATAGCTGATAAAGCTTCTGCCTTTAGCATTGACATCCCATATGAGCCTTGGTTCAAGTCCCAGATGCTCCACTTCCAATCCAGCTCCCTGCTAATGACCTGAGAAAGCAGCAGAAGATGGCCCAAGTGCTTGGGCCCTTGCACCCACGTGAAAGACCTGGAGGAAGCTCCTGGCCCAACCCTGGCCACAGTGGCCATTTGGGGAGGGAACCAGCAGATGGAAGCAGATGGACAATCTCTTTCTCTCTCTCTCTCTCTCTCTCTCTCTCTCTCTCTCTCTTATTCTGTAACTCTGCCTTTCAAATAGATAAATATATCTTTTTGAAAAGAGGCACTGGGGTCACAAGGGCTCTGCTCACAGATTCAGATGGATGCTGTATTACGGGACTGAGTTCCTGATAAAAGCCGTGCGTTCGGTCCCCTTCCTTCTCACTCTCACCTGCAACGCCTTCTGCTACATTACAGCACAGCAAGAAGGCCCGCGCCAGAAGAGCCCCTCCATCTCGGACTTCCCAGCCTCCAGGACCGTGGGCCAAATAAGCTCCTGCTGTTTGCAAATAACCCAGTCCGTGGCACTCTGTGATAGAAGCACAGTGGACTAAGATACTCCCCTTAGCTCACAGTCCACCCAAACCGTCCCTGCCTCACACTCTGCTGAAGCTGCCCCTCCCGGGGCTCCCTTCGCACCTCGCACTCCTGCCCGTCTCCCTGTGCTTGGGGGGTTGAGTGAGGGACAGGTGCCTGTCCCAAGGACAGCCAGACTTCAGGCTGGCTGCCAACCCATAACTGGATCAGACGGGTCAATGTGGTTCTCACTCCAGGGAATTCAAACAGAGAAAAACCAAGGGAATGAGTCCATCGGCCCCGGTGTTGAGCGGACGGGCTGAAGGGCAAGGACAGTGCTGGAAGAGCAGTCAAGTTTCCCAGGGAGCAGGCTGGCCAGGAACTTTCTCATGAAAAATGCTTGAGCTGAGTCCTGGAGGGGAACCATATATGCTAACCAGGTGGACAAAATGAACCGAAGCATGAACAGCCCGAGAGGACGAGACAAGGTAGATGGGCTGGCGCTGTGGCGCAGCTGGTAAAGCCATTGCCTGCAGTGCTGGCATCCCATATAGGTGCCTGTCTGAGTCCTGGCTGCTCCACTTCCGATCCAGTTCTCTGCTATGGTCTGGGAAAGCAGTGGAAGATGGCCCAGACACTTGGGCCCCTGCACCCAAGTGGGAGACCCAGGAGAAGCTCCTGGCTCCTGGCTTGGGATCAGCTAAGCTCCAGCCATTGGAGCCATTTAGGAAGTGACACCAGTGGATGGAAGACCTCTTTCTCTGCCTCTCTGTAACTCCGCCTTTCAAATAAATAATTTTTTGACAGGCAGAGTTAGACAGAGAGAGAGAGAGAGAGACAGAGAGAAAGGTCTTCCTTCCATTGGTTCACCCCCCAAATGGCTGCTACGGCCGGCGCACTGCACCAATCTGGAGCCAGGAGGCAGGTGGTTCCTCCTGGTCTCCTATGTGGGTGCAGGGCCCAAGCACTTGGGCCATCCTCCACTGCACTCCCGGGCCACAGCAGAGAGCTGGCCTGGAAGAGGGGCAACTGGGACTAGAATCCAGGGTGCCGGCGCCGCAGGCAGAGGATTAGCCAAGTGAGCCGCGGCGCCGGCCTAAATAAATCTTTTTTAAAAAAGAAAGAAAAAATAAAACAACTTTTAAAAAAAATACAAGGTAGAGAAAAAAATGAGTGAGGATGCAAACCAGCCAGTTGGTGGTGGGTGGTGAAGAAACTCAGAAAGAGACACTGACTTTTCTTCAAAGCCCAGAAGTGCACTCACGGTGCCATTGCTGCTGGTCCCACGGCCAGGTCGTGACACTTCCCCAGCCCTGTGTCTCTGACCACTCAACGGGGCTCCATACACCTGCGGTCTCCACATATGTCCCATGCCCTCACCCCAGCCCTACCTCAAGTTCCTGGGCAACTCTTCATCCATTAAAACTCAGCTCCAGAGAGCACAGCCTTCCCCAGCCCCACTGTGTTCCTATAACCCTGACATCTGGGATTCCTTACCTGGCCCTACCATGGCACTCGTTGAGTTCCAGTGATTAATAGTCACATCAGCTGCCATCACACCGGGAACTCTCTGTGGAGAAGAACAACTAGTTGTGCATTCATTTAGCAAATGCATGCTGAGTGCTGGCTATGTGCCAGGCAGGTGTTGTTTGGACATTAAAGACGCAGAAATGAACAGAGCTGGTTTTGCTCTCATGGAGCATATACTTTAAATGTTTTGTGGGTGGTTGCAGGATAGTGGGGAAGATGGTTGGATGGACAGATGGATGGATGGTGGGTGGATAGATGGATAGGAGGTAGAATCTTTGAGTGAATGGATGGGTGGGTGGATGGGTGGGCAGGTGGGTGGCTGAATGGATAAGTGGATGAAGCCTTGAGGTGGGAAGATCTACTAAAAGGGAATAAAAGGTTCTCCCTTCCATGAGTCCTCCTTAGTCCCAGACCCTCTGCACCTGTGTGGTAGTTGTCTAGTGCTGTGTGATGAACTGCCCCTGCTCGAACAGCTTAAAACAGCACCAACAAGGCACACAGGAAGGCCTTATCTCTGCCCCACAGTCCCTGGAGGCTTGGCTGGAAGACTTACACGCTGGAGCCTGAAACATCCGAAGCTTGACTGAGGGTGGAGAGTCTGCTTCCACGGCAGCTCGCTCACGTGGCTGTGCCAGTTGGTTCCTGTGTGCGGGGGCCTCCCACAGGGCCGCCTGAGCGTCCTGGGGGTGTGGCAGTCGGTCCCCCGCTGAGTGATCCATCCACGAGAGTGAGGCAGTGAGGCGGAAGCCACAGCGCCTGTCACCATCTAGCCCAGAATCACACACTGTCACGTGCACCCCATCCTGGTCATTAAAGCAAATTACTCAGCCCGGCCCACCTGCAAAGGGGCAGGAATGAGAGGCTATGCTCAGAAGGGCACAGTGTCCAAGCTTGGCCATCACTGAAGACGCCCACAGTCCTCCTTCAGACCACAGATCGGTTTGTCGTCATCTCTCCTGCGGCTGCCCCACCCGCTGTCACACTCCTCCCTGCATAAACAGGGGACACATTCTCCCCCACTTCACCCCTGCCAGCCTTCTCTGAACAACTAATAAGCCTTTGCACGGTAGGCGCCTACTGCTGATCCCAACAGAAAAACGTAAACCAGGTTTTAGAATGACACTCCAGGGAAATTGCAAGGTTACAAGAAAATGGATCAAGAAACAGGGAGGTTAGTCTCCCTGGGATTCTCTGAAGCCACCAGGTCCTCGGCTCTGTGGCTCCCAGACTGCCCCTCGGGTGCTCCCACAGGAAGTCAGTCCTCATCCTGGGAATTCACTTGCCCTTCCTGTCTGGATGGGGAGCACACGGATCTCCCTCGACTCTAGCCCAAAGGCATCTCCTTGACACCTCTTCCGTAGCTGATGGCATGTAGGTTTCTTCTGGAACCTTCTTTAAAATCTCCTCACTCACCACGGACATCCCTAGGTTGGAGCGATTTTGCTTTAAATTCAACAGTTGCCCACACTGGACACTGGACAAAGGGAGAGCTGGTTCCAAACCCTGCCAGCAGATTTCTGCCCGAAGTGGGGGGTGTCCTGAACACACTCGAGCCCACAGTGGCGTTACCTCCTGCTTGGAAAACTTCAACAACCCTCTAAATGGTGTCCCTCCAACCACCCTCCACGCCCAGCCTGAGGGACCTATGCACACAACTGATGCCACTGATCCTGGTCTGGAGACTCCCACAGCTCCCCAGGGCCCCAGCACTGAGGTCCACCTCCCTTCAAAGCCCACAAGCCTCTCCGTGGCATTGCTGTGGCTCAGCTACCCAACATTAGCTCTCAACCAAAATGAAAGGGTGTCCCCAAGTTCTGTCCCACCTGTGGGCTGTTCACTCCACCTAAAAATTCATCACCCCTGCTGCCAGCCTCCACCCCAGGCCTGCCTCACGCCTACTCACTTTCAGGCATTAGATGTCACCTTTTCCAGGACAATGTTGGACCTCAGCCCACCCCACACTTGCAATCAGGGCCTGCAGCCCATACTCAGTGGTATTTTGCTTGATTATTTGTCTGTGCTTGTTGAATCCTTGAAGCCATAAACCAGGGCTAGTGTTCTTGTCACCTAACACGACTCCTGGCTCAATGAACACCTGCTGATGGAGTGAGCAACAGAGGCCCTTCACCATCCCTGCTGTGTTCTCCGGAAGCTGTGCCTTGGCCCTGGCCTGTTCCCATCAGAAGCTGTGTCCTCAAGAACCCTGATTTGATGGACAGGTGGGTGCTAAGGGGAGTTCAGCCCATCTGTGACTTTTGCCGTGCTGGGCCACTATCATAGCCAAGTCTCGCCAGTGGCTGCGTTGTTCAGCGGGCCGGCACTGCCTTCACCAGCAAAGTCCACCCTCACTGTCAGCGGGACAGGTCCCTCCTTCCTCCAGATCTCCAAGTCACAGGGGATTACCTAGCCTGTGGTCATCCTTTCTACCGGGCCTCCAAGGCTGTCTCCTGAGCTGTGTCAGATGCCACTGAGTGTGGCCTCCCCCCTTTTCTAACTCGGTGGGGATCTGTGGGCCACCTCTGAAGCAGTCGAAGCCCTTCTTTACCAGATGCATGTAAAGCCCAGATGGCCCAGAGCACCGAGGACATTTAATTTCCCCTTCCTCACACCAGTACCTGAGGGGTTTGAGAGCCTGAGTTCAAGAGTCACCCTCAGGGCCAGTGCTGTGGTGTGGTGGGTTAAGCTTCAGCCTATGACACTGGCATCCCCTGCGGGCACTGATTCAAGTCCCAGCTGCTCCACTTCCCATCTAGTTCCCTGCTAACAGCCTGGGAAAGCAGTGGAGGATGGCCCGAGTACTTGGGCCCCTGACACCTACGTGGGAGACCTGGATGAAGCTCCTGGCTCCAGCCTGGCTCAGTCCTAGCCCTTGAAGCCACTTGGGGAGTGAACCAGCTGATGGAAAATCTCTCTCTCTCTCTCTCTCTCTCTCTCTGTCTCTCTCTCTGTCTCTCTCTCTGTTTCTCCTGCTCTTTTTAACTCTCCTTTTAAATAAACAAATCTTTTGAAAGAGAGGGGGGAAACAGAGAGAGAGAGAGAGAGAGAGGAAGATTCACCCTCCTTGAGTGTTTCCGCTACTCACTACTGAAATGACCTTGAGCAAGTCATGTAAATTTTAATCCTTTGATTCTTCATCTGTTCAAAGGAGAGAGATAATAGCATGCCTTCTCAGGATATTATGAGGGCTGTGGTGAGACCTTCAATGTAAAGGAGCTTAGAACAGGGGCTGGCACTGTGGTGCAGAAGGTTAAGCCCTTGCCTGCAGCCTCAGCATCCCAAAAGGGCACTGGTTCGAGTCCCAGCTTCTCCATTTCTTGTCCAGCTCCCTGCTGATGTGCCTGGGAAAGCAGCGGAAGATGACTCAAGTGCTTGGGCCCCTGCTCTTGTGTAGGAGACCTGGAAGAAACTCCTCGTTCCTGGCTTTGGATCGGCACAGCTCCAGCATTGTGGCCAACTGGGGAGTGAACCATCAGATGGAAGACCTCTCTCTCTGTCTTTCTCTGCCTCTCCTCTCTCTGTGTAACTCTGACTTTTGAATGAATGAATGAATGAATGAATAAATATTTTTTAAAAAGAGCTTAGAACAGAATAAGGAAAAAAATATTTATTTGGCTTGAAAGTCAGAGTTGGCTGGCGCCACGGCTCACTAGGCTACTCCTCTGCCTGCGGCACCAGCACACTGGGTTCTAGTCCCGGTCGGGGCGCCGGATTCTGTCCTGGTTGCTCCTCTTCCAGTCCAGCTCTCTGCTGTGGCCAGGGAGTGCAGTGGAAGATGGCCCAAGTGCTTGGGCCCTGCACCCACATGGGAGACCAGGAGAAGCACCTGGCTCCTGCCTTCGGATTGGCGCAGCACGCCAACCATAGCGGCCATTTGGGGGGTGAACCAACGGAAAGGAAGACCTTTTTCTCTGTCTCTCTCTCACTGTCTAACACTGCCTGTCAAAAAAAAAAAAAAGAAAGAAAGAAAGAAAAGAAAAGAAAGAAAGAGTTACACAGAAAGAAAAGGAGAGGCAGAGAAAGAGAGAGAGGTCTTTCATCCACTGGTTCACTCTCCAATTGGCCGCAACAGCCAGGAGCTTCCTCCACGTCTCCCTCGAGGATGCAGAGGCCCAAGCACTTGGGCCATCTTCTACTGTTTTCCCAGGCCATAGCAGAGAGCTGGATCAGAAGTGGAGCAGCTGGGTCTTGAACCAGCGCCCATATGGGATGCCGACACTGCAAGTGGCAGCTTTACCTGTTACACCACAGCGCCAGTCCCCAGAATAAGGATTTGAATAAATGATGGCAAGTAAGGGGAGCCAGGCCCAGCGTGGAGCACCCTGCCTTCTCTAACTCTCCCCCTCAGTTCCCGGTTCCCCTGCTGTCTCCCCTTCCACCTTTCCCTTTGGAAATGCTTCACCGCCCATAGGATGAGGCAAAACGCAGCCCATTCCCTTCCTGGTCATGCCATTCGCTCAGATGGATATCCGTGCAGTGCACGTGTGTTGGGCAGAGGTGACGAGCAAATAGTGGACGTCTCTACTCCGGTTCAGCTTCCCTCCCCAGAAAACGCGGCACTCCGCGTTCCCCAGGACGCCCAGTAGCAAACACCCCTTGCTACAGCAACAGTGCACAGTGCGCTGTCTTCCCAAGGCCACAGAGCAGGATCTGTAGGAGCGCACATTCTTCCCATTAACACAGCTTTGACCCCACCACCAGGGAAGTAATTATCCTGGCCTTAATAAGCCAAAGGCCATTTGCCTACTTCCTGGGCTGGTTTGTATTACAAAACAGCTGGAAAAGCTTGTGCCTGAATCAGGAAACTAACGGCACCCGTCTCCTCGGCATAATTTCTCGGATCCCTAAAGTCCTCCTTGACGATAGCTGTTCGTCTCGCTGCTCACCGCTCCGTCCACTTGCATCTTCCCATTTCACAGCTGTGGCCCTGTGGGGGCTCCCACTCAGCCGCTGTTTCCAGCCTGAAACCCCCCGCATGCTCCCCGCTTACTGCAGAGTTGATGAACATATCCCGAACCCACAGATGAGTCATGCAGGACACCAGCACCCTGCAGGTCCCTCACAGACCCTGTGACCTCCTCGGGCACCCCCCGCCCCCATCCTCGTCCTCCTGGCATTGTCCCTGCCCGCCCAGCCCACGTGCACTTGTACGCATGCTCCTAGTAGCAGGGCGTCCTTGCACCTTGTTGACTTTAATGCTCTGTGGCATGAATAAGCCCGTCTGCAGGCAGCGCTCAGCCAGGTCCAACCATCACTCTGCATCTTCCCCTGTCTGAACCACACTCCCTACATCCCATGGAGAAGCTCTTCCCTGTCTGTTGCTTGCCAGGGCCGTGATTCCTATAAATTTCTTAAACATGCAGTAACAGCAAGCACAATTCTTTTCAGAGGGAGAGAAGGCCGCCCCCACCCCACCAAGTCCCTAAGAAACCAGTGAGAGCTAATTCCACCTAAATCCCAAGCCCCATACTCCCGGAAGCGGCCAATAACCAGGCATCCATAATGGGCTTTCCAGCTCACCCCCTACCACCCTCCGCCCCAATTTTCTAAATCTGCTCAGCAACCAAAGCCATTAAATCCAGAAACTAATTTGTAAGGAAAACAATGAGAAGAGTAATACTCTCTCTGTAGGATTCCAGTGGGAGGTCCCACGGGGACTGGTGTGCAGCAAGTCCCGGGGAAGGGCACCTGGAGACAAATGCCTATTATCACCGAACCCCCCAGTGCAATGGACGCTGACCCACTGCAAAATGGAAATCTGCCCCGTCCCACAGAGGCCAGCACGCAGGTTCACCTCATTTATCCTGCAAAGCGAGCTGTTAACAGCAAGCACTGCAGAGCCAGCCTCACCACGCGTGCCTGGGTGGCTTTGGAGCAGCGCTATTGGGAAAAAGGAGAAAAAGAAAAAGAAAGAGGGGAAGTGGGTGGGGGGAGAAAGAGCCAGAAAAGCTGGAGAGAAAGATGGAGTGAGCAGGTGGAGAGGGCAGCCTGGTGGTCTTTGCGCAACCCTAGCTGAGCCAGCCAGCCTGGCCGCGAGGGAA